TAAAATTTATTTTATCAGAGATTAGTATTGCCACTCCTGCTTGTTTTTTATGCAGTTAGCTTGGCATATTTTTTTCCATCCTTTAACTTTTAGTCTGTTTTTGTCTTTGTGTGTAACATGTGTCTCTTGCAGGCAGCATATTGAAGGGTCTTGTTTTCTTATCCATTCTGTCACTCTCTGTTCCTTCACTGGTGCATTTAATCCATTGACATTTAGTGTAATTAGCGATAGGTTTGAATTAATTGTTGTCATTATGTTAATTTTTGTTGTATTCAATCCTTTGTTCTGAATGCCTTATTGTGCTGAGTTTTTGTGCTATTTCTTGCCAGTTTCTTCTTAGTTTCAATGTTTCCTTGTTCTGCTTGGATCTCCATTTTCATGGTAAGTTGTAAAGTATTAATTCTGGGGGCGTGGTTACTCTATAGTCTATTAACTTTCCCCTGAATTTAAGACAGTCTATTGCATCTTGCACACTACCTGACCTCCTCACCACCTGGGTCTCTGTTGCTGTGTTTTTCCCTTCTTTGACATTGTTGATATTTTGATCTTTGATTGACCTCGCAGGTCCTCTGAATTCCTTGTTGTAATTTTTTTTTGTTCTGAACTCTAGTATCTGTCAACTGAGTTGTGGATAGTGTTGCCATGTCTGTCAATCTCTGGATTTGTCTGTTCTTGTTGGTTTTCATTACAAAGAACTCCCTTTAGGATGTTTTGATGCACTGGATTGGCTTTGACAAAATCTCTTAGCTTCTGTTTATCTTGGAATGTTTTGATTGCACCATTGTATTTGATTGACAGTTTTTCTGGGTAGACGATTCTTGGTTGGCAGATTTTTTTTTTTCTGTTAGGGTTTTATATATGTCTTTTCATTGCCTTATTGCCTGCATGGTTTCTGCTGAGAAGTCAGAGCTTAATCTAATTCGCTTGCCTTTGTAGGTAACACTTCTCTTTTCTCTGGCTGCTTTTAGTATTCTTTCCTTGTCTTTGATTTTTGGAGAACTTGATTATGATATATCTTGGTGATTTTCTTTGGGGGTCTATCATTCCTTGGATTTGTTTAGCTTCTTGAATGTTTATCTTCTCATCCTTCAAGATGTTAGGTAAGTTTTCTTCCAGAAGATACTCAACTACTTCCTCTGTGGACTTCTGTGTTTCATCCTGTTCCAGAATGCCAATAATTCTTAAGTTATTCCTCTTCATGTTATTCAGCATGAATCTTAGACTCTGTTTTGATTTTTTATTCCTTTTTTCTGCTTGATTTTCTATCTTAGCAGTATTGAGAGATTTGTCATCCAGCTCACTTGTTCTGGCTTCCATCTTTTCAATTCTACTCCTTTGCCCCTTCAGTGTGTTGTCCATTTCTGATATTTTATTATTAATCATCTGTACCTCTTTTTACAGGTTTTGAACTGTTTCCAATGTTATATCTATTTTGTTTGATTGCTCTTGTAGCACTTTCCTGACTTCTTCCTTTTTATTTAAATTTGTCTGCATATCAATCTTCTGAATTCCTTCTCAGGCAGATCCAAAGCCTGCTCTTGTTCTAATGGGGAGTCTATGTCTGCCTCGAGCTCATTTGTCGCAGTTACTCTTTTCTGTTTTTGGACATGCACTGAGCTCTTTTGTTGTTTTTTTTCTTGACATTTACAGTAGTTAAGTGGGGTTTTAATGGTTAAATGAATGTATGTTGCTCTGTTGTTAAGCTTACTGAGTGTGTCCTGGTGGATGTGATCTGAAGATAGGCTTACCTTTTCACATGTAATGCCTAGCAGCTGTTATTGGTTCCTGTCCAGATGGTGTGATATTATGGGGTATGCTTGTAATTTGACTATATGGATACTATTTCTGTCTCTTCTTGGGTAAGGTAGGAGGAGAAAGCTCACACCTCTAGGAAAAAAGTAAGCTCAAAAGGACCAAAAACAGAAACAATATAAAAGCAGAGACAAAAACCACCACTCAAAAACAAGGATAGAACCATAGCTGACTGCCCAGTAGCCTTTGCTGCACAGGTCAGTGTGCATTCACTGTAGAAACCTCCAGTGGTGGGTGGGGTGTTCACTCGCTCAGGCCCCTCCTCTAGTCACCGCTGTGGAGGTGCACAGATAGATATTGAGAAATGAATGGAAGAAAGATTGTCCCCTACTTGTATCTCTGAAGATCTAGTAGGTATATACATCTGCACAGCGTAATTCTCAAAATAACTGCACACTTACATACAATAGTTGGTGTTGGCTCTTGCCTTTTATATTGAGGTTTTACAAGTTAAACATACATTTTGGCTATATGGCCAGGCCTGTTTTTTTTTTCTTGTTAGGTAAGTCAGGTATAAAGGGTCCTGCCCAGGTCAACTTTAGGGCTGGGTCTCAGAGACAGATGTGTAAGATGCCGCCAAAGGATGTCTGTGGGACCAATGTGGCTCCTCCCAGGGACCTCCTCCCTGTGCCATGGGAAAACTGTGGGCGCAATGCTGGATGCTTTTGGGGGTGCACTCCCACCTGCCTTACTGTGCCCCAGCTGGGCAGTGAGGTTATGACAGGGAAGAGGAGAATGGAAAGGTATGTAGTCTGTCACACCTCGTTTTCCAGAAGCTCTGTTGGTTTTTTTTTTTTTTTTTTTTTTTTGCGCTGTGTCACTCACTGTACCAGACTGGATGTGGCCCCACCCTCTGAGTTCCCGTCCAGTCTGATGGGTCGCTGTGAGTATCCCATGTCCCATGTCCAGATCAATCCAGCAATCGCTGTATTTTGCTTTTCACAGTTAGATTTCTCCACCTGTGGGTGCGGGAATCTGGCACACAGAACCTTGGACAAGATCCAAAACTCTGGGGCTGTTCTGGAAAGTGGCTTCTCTGGTTTATCCATGCTTCCACTGAGGAGCCTCCCCTACCTGTCTCTGTTTCACCTGCCACCAAACGGCAAGTTCTTTGTATGTGTTTTAACTTATTTTTTCTTACTGAATTGAATCTTCTTTGCATTGTATCCAGTAGTTGTTTTCTCTTTGAAAGAAAAAAAATCTCTTAAATTCCTTGGAATTTGCCTTGTGGTTCATTGTCTGTCTGTTTTTCAAATTTCCCATGTGCACTTTAAAAGAATATTTATCCTTTAATTGTTAGTTGCAAGTTTCTACATATGTCCATGAGCACAGCTTATTGATATTATTGTTCAAATCTTTTCAGCTCTTTCTAATTATTTTGTCTGTTTACTGTGACTATTATTAAAATGTATCATTTGGCATTTCTCTTGATTGTGAGTTCATCACTTTCATAGGCTGGGTTCTCTAGAGAAGCAAAGCCAGTGAAACATATATGTATATATGGTGGTAGTGGTTGTATGACATCGTGTGGATTCTGAGTCATAGTGATGCTGTATAGGGTTGCTAGGACTCTAAGTCTTTAAGGAAGCAGAAAGCCTCAACTTTCTCCCATGGAGCGACTGGTGAATTCATAGTACTGCCCTTGTGATTAGCAGCTTAGTTTGTAATACTCTATTCTACCAGGGCTCAATGTGTATATATGTTGTTGTTTAAGTGCCTTCAAGTGTGTTTTGACTCAGAGTGGCTGATGGGTTTGAACCACCAAAATAGTGAGTCGCAAGCCCATGCTTATCCTACAGAGCTACATGCAGGAGTCCTGGTGTGGTGCTATGGGATGATAAGCACTGGAAGGAAAGGTCAGTTTGAACCTCAACGTAGGTGATTCAAATCCACCAGGTGCTCCAACTCAATGGCACTAATCAACAATAAATATATATGTATAGTATGCCTTGAATTTAGTTGATATTCAGTAAATTCTTTTCTATCCAAAGTCTTCTTAATTCCTACCAAGTGATTTGGTGGGACCATGCAAATAAGGTATACAGTACTCTAAGGCTGGGACTGGTTACTGTTGCCCTACAGCTAGGTTTAAAAAGAGCCATCTCAGAAGCAGAGATGAGCGATCCCAGGACCATCTAGAGGGAAGAGCATGAGTGACACATGGGATCCCTACCTAGAGAAACAGTGACTGCAGAGGTGACAGCAGAGGTGGTAGCATGGAGAGACAGAGCATATTCTGGCTCTAGGCCTACAAAATGAATAAAGCTGAGTGCCTATGGGCAGAAGACTGGCTTGCACAATGTACCCTTTGGGCATTCACAGACTGGATAAAATAACTTTGTAACACATGCCTGAGCAGGGCAGAGGTCAAGGGAACATATGGTTGAGACGCCAAAGACTAGAGTGAGGTGTGCCTGCAGTATGATAGACAAGAGGCACTCCTGACTAGAATTGCTACATCCTGTATTGGTATTGATCCTGAATTGTACCCTGTTAACTTCCCTAAAAAAACAACAACACATAATTGTGAATGTTGTTATGAGTTCTGTGTGGTCATCCACTGCATTGCATCATCTAACCCAGATGTGAAGCAGAGAGTGCTATGTAAGGAATGGTTGATGTCAGAAGTAAAGAAGGTTGTAGGGTGGAAGCTTGTCTGACCTCCAATTCATAGGAATCAGCCTGGGCTGATTTTAAGTTTGATTCTCTTTCCTCCTTGTGAAGCCAGGGGAAGTCAGACATGGCTCTCATGTTTGTTTGTTTTTTTCAATATATAAAGAGAGATTTATATTACACAGTTGTAGAAGTGGACAGTACCAATCCACAGGATAGTTGTCAGGCAGGAGGCTTCTAAATCATGTAACTGAAGGGCTTATGAACCAAGATCAGCAGGATGGATGACAAGCAGTTAGGCAGAAAAATCTGGCAGGTAAAAAGATAGACTGTTGATGTGCATCAGGATTGGCAGAAAATAGAGAAGGTGACTTGCTCAAGTCCAAAGAACTAGAGGTCAGAAGATGAGCCAGATATAAGATTCAGACCCAGTAGAAATCAAGCAAGCCTTGCCTGAGTGTCTGATATATTGAAAGAAAGCCACATCTTAAGGAAGCCTTCTTTCAGTATATTGGCTGCTCATATCAGTCTTCATCATAGAGTTGGTTACATTATACTAGATATCATTGTGGGGAATGATTCCTGGTGTGTGGCACTGTCCCCTCGTCCAGTGCCTGCGCCCCACTGCCGAAACCACCATTCCCAAGACCAAGGGTGACAGGGATGCTAAGGGAGATAATGCCAAAGTGAAGGATGAACCTCGGAGGAGATCCACAAGGTTGTCTGCTAAACGTGCTCCTCCAAAGCCAGAGCCTAAACCTAAAATGGTCCCTCCAAAGGGAGAGAAGGTACCCAAAGGGAAAATGGGGAAAGCTGATGCTGGCAAGGATGGGAATCACCATACAGAAAATGGAGGTACCAAAACAGATCAGGCACAGAAAGCTGAAGGTGCTGGGGATGCCAAGTGAAGTGTGTGCATTTTTGATAGTTGTGTACTTCTGGTGGCTGTACACTTTGAAAGACTATTTTTATCAAGTCTTACTTAAAAAAATATATATATGCTGTTAGCAAACAAAACATATCATTGTTTTTGGAGAAAGGGGCAAATGTCACTAATAGACTATCTCCAAAGCTAAATTGATGTGGAAGCAAACACACTTCCCTTCTAGTTTGGAGAGACTCCCTCTTGGTTTGCAGGAGGAAGGACTCCCTGATGTTAACACACAGTAGCCACATTGGCACAAGTGCCATGTGATGTGAAAAAGTACGATTTGTTTTTACATCTTCATATCCTCTTCTCCCTCTTTATTTTCAACATAGACTTGACTCCCAAAAACTCAGAGACCTGTTTGGACCTGACCTCAGAAAACTGGTTATTTAATGTGTCAGGTAATCTGGACTTTCCAGTTGTGCCATCTCAGTGGCACCCTCAAAAGAGCAGCGGCTCCTTTGTTCAGATTGTGGGTGTTCAGATTGGTAATTCTGCCATTTTCATCTCATTTTCTGAAAGTCAGGGTCGGCTCATGAAAAGTTGTTCAACAACTTGCTAAATGTGAAATGTCAACCCTCACTCTAAACTTTCCTTGTTCAGAGAATCAGGTGAAGACTTCATTGGGTTTTATAATGGCTTTCTGATTTTGGTAGTCCATCGAAGAGGGGAGTTTGAAAGTTGTTGGTTACCGTTAACAATTGTTTGCCTGAATACCATGATTGTTTATGAAAATTATCTCTAATAAAGCTGGATACAGTTTGGCTAGTGAAAAAAAAAATTAAGAAGTCTGAAGGGGCAAAGTCAGGGATATACGGTGGATGAGGTACGATTTACCATTGAAATTCTCTAGGACAGCCCTTGTTATCCTTGAAGAATGAGGAGGTGCATTGTGATGGGAACAAATTCATCTGTGCAAATTTCTTGGCCTTTTTTTTTTTTTCCACCAATGCAGTTTTCAATATTCATAAAAATTCTTCATAGCAAACCCCTAATATCTCTCTGTGTCCACAAACAGTTGCTATAACCTTCTGAGCTGATCTATCTGCCTTAATTTAAGTGGTCCAGCTGATCACCTCAGAAGACATTGTTTTGATTGGAGATGATTTAAATTTTTGAAAGCACCCCTATGGACTACAACAAGTGCATTACTACTTAAGGGAACTTATTTTTAGCCATCCTCCGATTAAAGAAACTGTTTAAACATGTTAGGTTTTTTTTATATATACAAATAAATAAATCCATGCATATAGGAACTGAAACTCGAGTAGCAATGCTTTTTTACTTACCCTTATGTATGTGTGTGTCTGTGTGTATATGCTATAACTGAATATTCGATATGCAAATGAAAATGTAGTGGTAGTTTAGAAAGCATGACATATTTTGACCTTTTCCAGGGTATTTCTGTTAATCCAGTTCTAATACACAATTAATATATTCATCTCACAGAATGCTTAGCTTGAAATAAATAAATAGTACTTAATTTGAAACCTCTAAGAGGAATTTTTACAGATGACTGTTTAAAATAGAATAAATTTTATTAGCTTATACCTTATTCTGCTTTGATGAACACCTGACTACTGCTCAATTGTCAATCTAAACTTGTGTTTCTCTCTTTGCTACTCTCTACCTCATTTATAAGAAACATCTTCCACAGACCTTCTTGAGTTTACAGCATACATAAACATGAAAAACGTAATTAAAAGGCAATAGTAACTTTTGCCAGACTGCATTTCTCTTATCTTTTATGGAATTCGAAACACACTGTGTATGCACACGTCAAAAATCCATATTATGAGAAAACACACATTTGCTGTGGTGATTACTTTTTCAAAAGACAGTTTCTGGCAGCTGCAGGCACTTGCACTTTTTAATACATCCTCACAGCCATTTTGCTCTCATCAGAAATAGTACACTTGCCTAGAAAGAAGTGAGACTGCTTATTCAATAAGACTACTGGAAATCATGAATAAAAAATATATATATGGAGCTCTGGTAGCGTAGTGGTTATGAATCGGGCTGCGAACCTTAAGGTCAGTGGTTTGAAACTACCAGCCGCTCTGCTCAAGAAAGATGAGGCTTTCTACTCCCATAAAGATTTAAACCTTCGGAAACCCTGTACAGGGTCGCTATGGGTCAGAACCGATTCGACTGCACTTAACAACAACAACAACAACAATATATATATAATCCTCTTAAAATATATATCCTCTTAAAAAACCCACTGCTGCTGAGTAATTCCAGCTCATAGTAACCATGTATGATGGAGCAGAACTGCCCCAGAGGATCCCCAAGCCTGTAGCCTGGAGTTCTGGTGTAGTGCTGTAGGATAAGCATTGGACGGCAAGGTAGGTTTAGACCGCAAGGTCAGTGATTCAAACTCACCAACAAGCTTTTCCTTGGAAACCCTATACTAGGTCACTATGAATCAGAACTGACTGAGGGGCACTTCACAACAACAACAAACCTTTAGGGCAGGAATGAGGAAACGTTTTACTGCTAAGGACCATTTGGATATTTATCACATCATTTGAGGGCATACAAAACTATTCATTTAAAAATTGAGCTTGCTATATTTGGTCAAACATTTAATTAACTCGCCCCTAATTTGATGGCTGAAGCACTGTGGATTAATACACCAGAATGTAAAGTCATTTAAAACAGTGTAAAGAATGTAAAATCATTTAAATCAAGGCCAGCGGTTCAAGCTCACCAGTAGCTCCTCGGAAAACAGTTTACAGGGTCACTATGGGTCGGAACTGACTCTAATGGCACTTAACAACAACAATTTGATGGCTGGAACTGTTGTTGCCGTGACAGGGCCAGACCAAATGATTTTGTGGGATTTATATGACCTGCAAGAAGGAACTCTGATATAGTAGCAGTTACGAATTAGGCTGTGAACCTCAAGGCCGGATGTTTGAAACTACCAGCTGTTCTGTGGGAGAAAAATGGGGCTTTCTACTCCGATAAAGATTTACAGCCTCGGAAACCCTATGCAGGGTCACTATGAGTCGGAACCAACTCCACGGCACATAACGGGCAAGAGTACTGGTAGAATAAGCACTGTAGAATAAGCACTGGACTGCAAGATTGGTTTGAACGTAGGGTCAGGGGTTCAAATCTACCAACTGCTCCTCAGAAACCCTATACAATGTCACTATGAATTGGAACCGATTCTATGGTACTTAACAATAGCAACAACAACACTATATGGCCTGCTTGCTGGACATTCTCCAGCCCTGTTTAGGGGAAAATATTGTCTTTCTACCACTGAGCTGTCAGTGAGTTTGAACCACCTACCTTTTGTTTAGCTGCTGCGCTCTTAAACAGGGCTCCTTTTCCCCCTCAAACTAGGTGCTAATTGAATGTTGTTGGGGTTTTCTTTGTTGTTGTTAATTGCTTTTGCATTTATTTTGGGGAAATGTTTTCAAAGCGAATCACATATCCAGCAGAAAACAATCTATAGTGTGATTTCATTTAACAGATGTTAACTGAGTTCTTACTATGTGCCAAGCACTGTGCTAAAAACCGATAATCTAATGGTCAATAAGGATGCTGCTCTCGAGCTGATAAGACCTCAAGTGATTCCCAGAATGTGTGACTATTTACCACACAACTCCCTTTTCTTTTTGTCCTAATTGTATGGAGATTTACTTTATGCATACATCTCTCTCCCTCTCTCTTTTAAATGTTTTAAAAGGGCTCTTTTTATAGCTTTTTTTTTTCCTTCAACTGAACAATTTTCCCCTTTCCAGAACTCTCTCCTACAAGGCGCAGTCCACTCACATTTTGTTAACTCCAATGTCTGCCTCATCAACTCACTGAGATTGCCAGACTCTTTAGGGGTTCACCTTATCCACATTGGGATGCTATGTGCCTCTGGGATTTGTGCACAAATCCAAACTTGTTCCTGTTGCCCAGTAATTCACAATGAATACAGTGATGAGAGCCAGACTGGTCAATTATAAATAATAAGTCAGCCTGCTAAGTGCCAGGGAATCAGAGAGGAGTGTAAAACCAGCATTGTTCCAGGGAATCAGGGAAAGTTTCCTATAAAAGGTGATATCTGGGATCTAAAGAAGTAGAAGGAATTAGATATCCAAGAAGACTGGAAGCGGGAGGTGAAAATATTTCAGACATAGGAAATGCATATCCATGCCCTAGAAGCGTTGAACAAACAAACATGCTTGAGGGAATTCAAATACTATGTTATAACAAGGACATGAATAAGTTGTTGTTAAGTGCTGTGGAGTCGGTCCCAACTCACAGGAACCCTGTATAGGATTTTTGAGGACCGCCTGGTGAGCTTGAACTACTGACCTGATGGTTCAAGCCAAGTTTGTAGTCCAGTGCATTAACTTACAGCACCAACCCAGAACTCTGGACATGATTATAATGACTGTAAAATGATGATGGATAAACATTGCCATAGTCCAAGTCATAGACATGCCACATGACAGATTGTGGACTTTTTTATAGAGATGAAAGGGGAGTTTTTCTAAATTGTTCACTTTTCAGAAGGACAGGAAATTGTTCAGAATTCTATTTTAGGTGGAAAATGTTGGGAGCTCTTTATTCTCGTTGTTGTTGTGTGTCATGGAGTTGATTCCAACTCATGGTGACTTTATAACACAGAGTAGAGCCTCCCCAGAGGATTTCAAAAGCTCCAGTAAATTGGGGAGCACATCACCAGTCTATTGGGAAGCACATCACCAGGTTATTTTCCTCCACAGAATCACTAGTGGGTTCTAACTGCCCACTTTTCAGTTAACAGGTGAGCATTTAACCTTAACCATTGCACCACCAGGTCTCCTCCATAAATTCTTTAACAGATTTTTTTATAGTGGGGCAAGAATGACATAAATGATGAAGGCTGGATTGAAAAATAATGACATTAGGAGTTTGAGATGATGGGACAAATTCAGAATCATTAAAATTGAAAGAGTATATTTTTTGTATTAGACATGAGAAGCAAGT